CTGTTGGAAAGAGGAGATTCCTAGCTTTCTAATGATATCAGGATTGTTTTTGTACTATATTAAGCAAAATATGTCACATTATATAATGACTGTCACCGAGTCATCATTTTGAGAAAAAGGCCTTAAAGTTTCCTCTTCTCTGGATCGATCTGATTGATTATTAGCGGAGCAAATGATCAAAGTAGTACGGAGGGAAGATATTTTCGTTTGGATTACTGGTCTGGGGGGAGCTCGCGAGTGTGCGTGTATACCACGTGTGTGTGTTTGTGTATTTTTGCGTTTGTTTCCCGGGGAAAACTTTCAGAAGAAACACCGGCTGTTGTTATGCTTGTTGTGACGTCAAGTTACTCCGTTCTCCGCTTGTAATTATGCCGTTAAAAGCTTCAAAGCTGTATTTATCATCTGAATTTGCCGAAACAAGTTTAATATTCTGAAAGCCAATACTTTGTTTATTTGAAATCAGATGAAAACAAACTGTAACGGACCCTGCGGTGTTATCTATGATTACTATGCCTTACATTCATAATGTCAGCGGAGGGAGGGGAAGCGGCGCTGTAGAAGAGCAGAGTGGCGAGTGAGAGGCGAGCTGTGTTCTTCCCTTTACAAGCTTCAAAAATGCCTGTAGCTAATGAGATTGAATATAACAATCAACAATAACAAAATATACACAGCTAGATCAGATGGCGTTCTTTTTAGATGCGACTTTAGAGTAGAGGGGAATTATTGAAACGGGATGTGTACAGGGTTCCGCGGCATCCGCTGCTGCGAAAATGTGGGGCAGGGCCGTAAAGTGGGGGGGCCAATGGCCCCCCCGCTTCCGGCGCCCTTGATTACATCCCATTTGCCAAGTGCAGTTTCAGGAATTTATGAGTAAATGTAGTACAGTACACTTTAATTTGAGTTCATTTGGTGTCAGCTATGACCTTAAAGAGCCTGTGACACGGGTTTCACCCATCATCCAAACCCATCAATTTATGTAAATATTGTCCCCTTGAAACCGTTACTGAACTGATTTGGGATATTTGTACTTTGATAAGCATTAATCTCCCCTTCAATGTTGACCATATTCTGGATCTTCTTGGGGATTCTTCAAATCCCGCCAAATTATGTGTGACGTAATTGCGGGCCAAGTGCTCCAGTTGCACCGTTCCGGATCCCAGCATCTGCATGCAAACGCAGATGGCGCACACAGCAGCAAGCTCAGACAGCGATGACAGTTTCATTTTGAACGTGTCTGAGAGCTCATATGACGCTGAAGGATCGGTTTATGTTTTATCTGTTAGAAGTTTAGGAATTAGGTGCGTCAATATGGGCGATAATACGGTCATGTATAGCCAGTGGTGGACTGGGACTAAAAATCAGCTCGGGACTCTCGACCGGCCCACTTCGGTACCGGCCCATCGAGATTCGTCCCGATGGCCAGTCCGCCACTGCACCCAGCCCATCCCACGTAAACTGTCAACGGGGGGGAGCCTCGCTGCGGGGAAACGGTGGACCTAGTGTCCTGATCGGAGTGGGAATAATAATAATAATAATAATAATCATTATCCGTGCATTTTATCCATTAATTTCCCAAACATTGTGGTAAAAAAAAGACACGTTTAATCCATGTTGGTGTACTACAACTACAAAAAGCATCGGTTTGTTTTTTCATCAGGAAATGCAGACCGGCTCAAAAAAACGATTTTTAATCATCATCCTCACGATCATTTAATGCATCATATGTTCGCCGAATTGACATGAAAGCACTAATACATGTAGTTTAATCCACTTGAGTTTACAACTACAAAAATAATCGATTTGTTTTTATATCACATCCGACGGGAGGAAATGCAGCAGCTCTCACTACCGATTTTTAATCCTAATTTAATCATCTTCACCACGATCATTTATGTTTGCTGAATTGACATGAAAGCACTGACAAATATGAATATACTGTAGTCAACTTCATTAAAACGTTATTAACGTGCCTAAACCATGGATGTATAATAAGAACCTAAACTCAGTAATTCACCATTTCTACGCATGACAACACACTTTGTCCGTGTTTGGCTCTCTCGCCGCACAGTGAAGCGTTCCCGCATTGACGTCACTTCCGGCTTCCCCCAAAACTTCAAAATGAGTCGAAGGAATTTCCCCGCGATGTTCGAAATTATTGATATTTATCGGAACGGTATCGCACCTTCTTTTTTAAGCTGACGGTTCGAGATTACTAGTAGCCCAATATTTCATTGCACAACAGTTGTTGGGAGGCTGTCACAGGCTCTTTAACACTAAGAAAGAACAAGTACTGCAAAGTATGGGGATGCTGAACTATGCCCATGTGCCTCATGGTGTGGCTCATTTCCAAACACAGCACCTCAAGACATTGAAAATAGATGGAAAGATGAAAACATTTATTATCCCCAACAATCCACCTATTATGCAGCCTCAGGCTTAGACAATCTACATTGTGAACCATTGGCTTAACAATTGGCTGACAATCTTCCATAAAACAGTAAACGACAAACAGATTATCAATGTTGCAGTTGAGTGAAGCAGCAGCAATAGGTCGACATAAATATAATAACAAAGCAAGCTGGCAGATACACATTATTCTTAAGTAAAACATTTCACCAATGCTCAGTTTATAATGTAGGTATTCAGTGTGTGGACAAAATATATTTTTAAAGTAGGCTACATAACATGAACCTCAACCGCCAAAGCAAATTATTTCAAGGCCAGCCAATTAAGCACCATAGACTCCCGAAGACAACTATTTCCATGCACACAAACAGCAAACAAAAACGGACCAGTACACTTGCAATTAATTCACAACAACAGCATTAGCAGCAGGAAGAAGGAAATAAATGAATAAACTAAATTTGGTACTTACTAGTTGAAGTGAAGCAGGATCCTCTCAGTCCTTCCAGAGGCCAAGCGGCAGTCCCGAGTTAGCAAACACCTGACGGGAAACTTCCTTTGCACTTGAAGTGGCGTCCAAATGAAGGCTCCTTCCTGACACCAAACGTCCACTTTGTTTGGGTAATGACATAATACATCCGTAAAGCGTAAAATAACCGAACGGGCGTTTTTTTTTTCTCAATGCGACATTGCAGTTTTACAGAGGAATAATTTGCTTGCAATTTAGCAGCACTGCTAACGTGTGGGCGGGACCATAGCGCTTTAAATTGATTATCATTTGCAACAGGTGTGTCCGGTGCATGTGGTTCATTAAACATGTGTTGTATTCTATGGTAAAACATCACACCGCTTACGTTTAAGAGCTTTTTCACATACAAAACGCTATCAGTTTATAAAAGAGGAATTGTTCCAAATTGAACTTCATAGGCCTTTATACAATAAGAGAAATAGTCGATCAACTACCATACCTTCATAAAGTAAGACAATCTGAACACTTTGAATACATATTTTCTTCTCACACATGCATGCTTACTGACTTTATCACATGAAATCAACATACTAACCCTCATGATCAACATTATAAAATACCCTCCATGTCAAATTGCATGCAAAGCCAGGCAAAACAAACTTTTCCTCTTTTTTTTTTACAGGAAGACAGACTATTTCTGTAGGGAGAAGATATACAGGTTTATTGTGTGACTAGACCATGCTGGCCATCTTTCAGCACCCTGAGTAAATGCTGGTGGTGTGACAATAGACCAGCTTGATCCGAGGAGGCTGTCACCTCAATGCTTATCAGGCTGTGGATCTTCATGCTATCACACACCAATAAGACACACATGACCTTTGTCAGCACCTGAGACCCTCCACATGCTTATGTCATTAGAAATAAATACCTTCAAGAAATAATCTTCTGAATTTAGATGAAGCCAAACCCATTCAAAAGGATAAAAAAAATCCAACTAAATATGAATATCTCATTCTCAACCCATACTCTTGTAACTATCGCTGGATCTTGCCTCAGCTGTGGGAGTGACAGTTCTCTTTAGATCTCCTCCAGCCTGAGAGCAGATAACAGCCTGTCTGAGTGCTACTTGTTACAGGATGAAGCCACCCTCATCTCACACACATGCAATCCCCATCTTCACAAATGTATCTTCAGTGTAATCTACTCCATCTCTGTAGCAGCACTCCCCTTCTAAGTACCTCCAGCTCACTCTCTGCTGATGAATAGCAATCAAGTACCGCTTGTAGGTGAAAATGTCACTTAAACCGTTATTTACATTTCAGTCATTATCACAACCCCCATGACGGGCTCATGCGATCCCAGTCTGTTGCACTTTGAGGTTTCAAGGGTGGCTTTCCGAACCAGGGAATCCTTTTTCCTTGCTTTCCCTCATCGAGACATAGCTATTGTGCTCATCTTCATTTTTGAAAAAGAGAGGATCAATGCACGACACCTGTGGAAGGACAGCAAACCACTTCCATGCTGTGTCTCCACAGTTTATCCCGACTTATTTTAAGTAAAAGTTTAGGAATATTTCTGAAAGAATGTGCCATCTTGAGCTCTTCAGCACTTAATTTCCATGTATGTGTGATACAAAATTGGAAACAGCAACATGGCAATCCAACAAGTTCACCCTGAAACATCTACAGTAATTTACCTTTATTTATTTTAAATCATTTATTTTCCTTTCAAAATTTTCAATATAGTTATTTTTCTTTCCGATACACCTGGAACTTCCCCCCCCCCCCCCGGATCAGTAGCTTCAGCTGGCCTTAAAACTAAACCCTAAACTTCTTATGCATATAGTGTTTACATTATTTGATGTACACTCTGTAAATCAGCACTCCACAGGTGAAGTATGTGTGCAAGTTCAAGTACAAGTCCTTCCTCTCATGATCCTTCACCCAGGTAATTGCTGCAAATATTTGCGTTTTGAACCCCGCGGTGCCAAATTGGGCAGGTAGCATTACCATCAAAGCTGTGGTAGACCTAAGGGAAAACGTAGAGATCAACTTGTTTATTATTTAACAGAATCAAGTCAACAGAGTGTCCTTAACAGTCGTGAACAAAATGACACCCTTAGGCAACATCTAGTGTAAATACAGGTTTATTAGGGATGAAAATGTTCCATGACGAACAAGAGGATAAACATTCACAGTACATTTCATCTCTACAACACCGTGCACTGAAACATTGTACAACTTCAAAACCCCATTGTTGTTCCGCACAAATTTGGTGCTTCTATACAAAAATACTTTCCATAAGAAGCCGAAAATATATATGAGGGGTATTATAGGGCACATTGGCAAAAATATTAATATTCTTGTCTCCCTTGATTTGATCAAAACCTCAAACATGGCAACAAGCTACAAATATTAAGCAACAAGCTTAGCCTAAATTTCCCTAAAGACTGCACTTGTGCAAATTGAAGCATAATAACCCCTCATGAGCAGAAATGACGTCAGCAGCTCTACACTTACATCACATACGGTAAACTAGCCAGCGGCAAACGGCGGTCTGATGGTTGAAAATGTGATGGAAACGGAAGGCAATTGGTCAGGTTTAGGAAACATGTGAGTTGACTGGTTGAATTAAGGTGTGGTAGATGGAAATAATGTCAGAAATCCTGTGGTAGATTCAGTTCAAGTTGATTGGTCAGATGATGGTTCTCTGGGTATGTATTGGTCGTTTTACGGAGAGGTAGGATAGTTGTCATAGTAAATGTATCAGGTCCCAAGGTTACACTATAACAACTCTCTTCTTACAGTACGTACATAGATTTCAATAGTATCGAAGACTGCAGGCCTGTCATTATAAGACCATATTGTTCCTCAAACCTTGTAACAGGAAACCCTCTTGCTAATTAATCTACTGTATCATGACCATCAAAACTGTGAACAAGTATAAGTAATGGAAAAGGATGGGAGCAATTCAACTTAGTTAAAAGTAAATGTTGATAGACTATTGTTAACTTGATGGACTACGATTTTGGTGTTTTTAGTTAGGTATCGAGTGAGAGCTACTCATGTTGTCAGCGATCTTTCAAGAATTACTAAAGTTGTAATATAGAAACTATAGCTGTGCTGGAAATTCTATCCAGATTGATTGTAAAATGGGAAATGTTGGCACTTTTGTTTTCATAGCAAAAGGTAAAAAAAGGACTATTTTAATTTAGAAAAGCTTAATAAAAATGTTGAATTATTCATGTATTCTGAAAATGTGACGACAATTTCAAATTGAATGAATTAAATTCAGCGCTGCTTTAGACTCTTTACATAACAGTCAGGTTAACATTGTCCCTTTTTTTACAAACAGTGATCCTTCATTTCCCTCTACAAAAATAATGAGGACACATATTGGAGTGGATAGAGCCACAGTCAATTGAGAAAGAGAAAAAAAAAACACCCTTCTTTACCGTAAAGGCCAAAGGCTATCATCACACGTACTGTAACATCAGAACCACACAAGATGGTGTGATGCACCTGGTTTAAAAACATAATTAAACCAACCTAGTCTTTACTAGCATTACATGACAGCTGTGGTATCACACTTAAAGGTGTGACTGGATCTTTAATGTTTTTGGATCCATGTTTGATTGGTTCACCAACGGCAACAGTGGAGTTCACAGGACACGTGTGCAAGTGAAAAGCAAAAAGAATGACCACATTTATATAATGGGCTATTGCTTCTAAAATGTGTTTTGTTAGTTTTATGATTATTATGAGACCGAATACAAACATCTCTAACACCATATCAAATTGGAATTGAAAGGACTTGTTGATCTGCTTTTTTTCCTTTTCACTTGTACAGAAAAATTATTTGTGGCATAAGTTTTCGTGCAAATAAATCTATCGAAGGGAACACGATACCTGGGAGAAAACAATGTAGGGTAACATTTAAGTTTCTCATACCTCTTTCTCTTTACATCTCAGCTCTTCTTCTTTTAAATTCCAATTCATCTACATTATATTTTCAACTATAAACTATTTCCTAATAGAGACATTTCCTATATCTAACATCTTAATGCATCTACATTTCTGAAGGTTTACATTAATATGAAGAAGTTGCCCCCCCGATTACACACACCACATGTGAATAGTTGACATACCCTTCCTATAATATCCAAAAATAAAAAGACATCCCTGTAAATATGAATCTTATTACATTACCTAATCAAAAGCACTAAGAGAAGAACAACAGTGCATGCATTGCTTGGCTCATACTGCACAAGTGCATTTTTAACAGCCACATTGCAATGTTTTTCATTAATAGATGATAGGAAGGGTGTGCCAACATCTATTAAATCATCTTTGCTCAATTGTTCGAGTCACAATGGGACAAAGATCATCTTAATGTGGAATATATTTTTGGAAAAACCGTTTGAATCATTGTCTTCGACCTTCCTCGCTCCCTTTGTGCTTCGAGTGGAGGTGCTCGTCTTACTCGTTCTGGGCCTCGCGGATCTTGGCTTGCAGCGCGTCACAAGTCTTCTTGGCGTCGCCTAGCAACATCGCAGTGTTGGGCTTGTAGAAGATGGGGTTGTCAACAGCTGCGTATCCCACACCCAGGGAACGCTTCATCACAACCACCTAGAGTGCAAGAGAAACACATAAAAAGACACACACATTCTTAAGCATCTAATAGGAAGAGTCGATGTGAAAATACGGATGAAGCAGATATAAGAAATAGTTTTGTGGAGATGCAAAATTATATTATAATCCAAGCCATTTTTCTTTCTAAGGTAAAACTGTAAATTATCCTTTTATCTCAAAATAAATCTGGGATGTTTGAAATGTAAAAAAGAAAACACTAACAGCTGTTGTTATAACATATTAAACAACAATGATTACAATACAAAAAAAATCTACAATCATCAATTCAAAACTGATTTGGCTAATTAAATTATAACTTGCAACTCTTTTAGACAACATTAATTCAATAAAAGTATTTTTTTTACATAATTCGTACTTCAACAAAGGTCTTAAAGTAGTGTAAGTATTTCCAGACAGTGTGTGTTCTCACATGACTCATGCGTTTGTAATTGAGCGCCTAAGAATATATTTTAAAAGCACTCGTGTTTTTTATGAACCCAGTTTTTATCTGTGCACCTGTATGTGTGTCTGTGTTTGTGTCCATGTGAGTGTGTGTGGTAAGGGTAGAATGTCTTCTTTGATTTCCCCAGGGGAAAGTGTGTGTGGATTTCAGAGCGGTGCCAGTGGGATGCTCCGAATGTCGTCATTCCACGGCGACACAGGCACCACTAATTGGATCAGGATGGGACTGCACCTGGAACTGTAACGGTCTGATTCTGTGTGTGTGTGTGTGTGTGTGTGGGAGTATGCAATTCTTCAGATTTGTGTGTGTGTGTCTGTGTGTGTCTTCAAAAAGAGGCCTCTCTACGGGTGTTGACTCCAGCATTCAGTTGAGACGATAAAAAGCAGTCCAGTTGTTAAATCTTCCATTCCTCTTTACCTTTTTGGGCTTCAGGACAACCTCATAATCACACATGCATGTACCAGATGTCTCACCTGCTTAGACTTCCAGACCTCCAGCACCGGCATGCCAGCAATGATAGAGTTGGGATCTTCCTGGGAGGCTGAGTTCACCGTGTCATTGGCACCGATCACCATGACCAGGTCCGTTTCTGATTGGAAACATAACAAATTAAGATCAGATATCATGTCTCCTTTTACTTTGTGTTTATAAACACATTTGTTTTGGTTCTTAAACCCTGTCTGATCATTCCCTTATCAAACCTTATTTGCTTTCCACCCAACGGTCTGAATAAGTTGCTAAATATGTCCCTAGTGGTAGGAAAAATAAAGTGATAGATTTTTTCTTTTACAAAAGTGGCTCCAACAATAATTCCACTCTGAAATACTGGAGGGGAAAATGTACTCTTTGCCACTTAAATGTGGTCAGAGTTCGACTAGCCGTTTAGCTTTAAGCTTTTAATTTATCTCCAACTCCATATTTTAGATGCCACTAACACATTTTTTAAAAGCTGCAACAAAAACCAACATGCTAGGTCACAATAACTTTTGTATAAATCAGTTAACATCATGGTAGGTAGCGTATATAAAAATGGTATCTTACTGGCGAAGTCTTCATTAATCTCTTCCATTTCCAGGACAATATCATATGGGACACCAGCTTCAGCCAACAGCACGTTGAGCTGACCGGGCATACGGCCGGCCACAGGGTGAATACCAAACCTGTGGAAAGGTGAGATAACAAACAAAAAAAGGTTACAAACAATGTGTTATTCATTTTTGAGTGTGGGCGCATGTGTGTGACTTGGTATTCATTGTTCTCAAACTCAAATAGCCATGTAATGTTACCAGGGTATGATATTAACACTGAATTCTGGTGACCGTCTCTCTGACTGTTTGGAGCTTTATTTATTTTTTATTTGGTGAGTTAAGGCCGATTCAATGTTCAGTTGGTTCTGGTATCTATTAGCAACTGTGGCTGAAGTCATTTTCTGCCTTTCATGTAATTCTATACAGTCTGAATGCATTAGAAGACAGTGGGTAGACGCAAAGGCTTTGGTCTTTGAGAGGGAAATGAAAGTGGTGTGCTTCCAAACTTCACACTGTAAATATACTGTGGTGTGTAGGGAAGAGGAAAATAACAGTGTATATAATGAACAGGAAGACAAGGGACACATCAAGGCAATACATCACAATTCAGAAAACAGAAAAATAAGAGAGGAAAGTAAGAGATCATGGTGAAGGAGTTTTTTTTTTTTGACCACCCACTTTCCTCTAATCAAGTACAAATGCTGTAAGTAGCAGCAGCTGCCACAGCCAGGATCAAAGGACTGTGGCAGGACAATTACACAAGCTTCCGCTGTACCTTGTCCTTCCTCTCCTTCACATTTCCTTTCTCTCATTCTTTCTATGCAGACAGGTCTCTTGCTATCAGTCCTGTCCCATCTTCTTGTCATCAAGCTCAAAACCACAACCCTCCTTTTTGTTGTCTTTCATGGTTCCGTTTACATTTGGTAATGGGTAGAAAATAGTTTTTTCTTTCCCAATTTTATAATCATACATCTCTAATGTTTTTATCTAATTACATCCATCCCCTTTGATTGAATTACAGTAGACTGATTATAACTCTATTTGCCTGACATATATGTTCATTTAACATAGATCAGTCAGCTTTATCGCCCCTTTACCTGACGTTCTTGCCAGCCTCTATCAGCATCTTCACCAGCTCAGCGATGGGGTACTGGGCCTTTGCAGCGCAGAGTCCATAACCTGAACGAGATTTTGAAAACAGGTAAGAATTAGTTTCCCCAATAAGACCTTCTTTTAAGATATAAGACAGACCTCTCACGTTGATTCAGAAACATTTTCATATAACCTTAGTCTTAAATGATAGTAAACTATAAATCTTCTTTTGAAGTCTTAATATGTCACCTTCAGCTCTAGAAAACTGGTGATGGACATTTTCGCTACCCTGACACACAATTGTTTTATAGTTTAATGATCATGTTACCACTACTGAGTTCCAGTTACAGATGGATGAAATTATAACCATTTTCTGTAACTGATAAACTTTCAATCATGTATTCCATATCAAACATTCAGATTATATAAATAAAGCTGGCATGGAGTTTTAAACACATTATATGTTTTTTCTTGAAGTCTCTGATTTCCTTTATGATTAATTTTGCTGGTGTATGGGACTTGATTTTATCACACCGTCATAGAACCAAACACACGTCACACGGTCCGGTGGTGTTTACTCGCCCTGTCACAACAACCAGTCACCAACTGTCTGTTTCCATCACACTGGTCAAAATGACAGGGCTTTCAATTCAGCATAGAGAAAGGAGAAACAAATAACTTTGGAAACTGTCTGCAGTTCAGCTCAATACTTGAATGATTTTTTCTCTTTATCACAGTTCTTTAATTCTTTGTGGTTTAAATATTCTCTCAGGAGTTTCTCCTATAAGGAAAAGCAAAGTGGATGCAGGCCATGCGGAGATGGACCAGACGAAGCCAGGAAAACATTTATGTTTATCAGGCCAAGTCTTAACCGTTTCCACAGATGTCAATCAGGCAAAGTAACTGTGACGGCTCCGATTAGGGAGGCTGGTTAAAATGGAAACAAGGAGGCCGAGTAAAAGCTGGCATATGGATAATACCAGTCTGACTTCACACTACACGATAGATTAAAGAATTATGCGTTTGTAGGGTACGTGTTTTGGAGGTGAGGTCATTAGCATTTAAAAGAAACGGCAGATAGAAATATCCCTGATCTCACTGGGTAATTAATTTAATTTAATTTATGGCTTTAAAATAAACCAATTTATAGAGTTACAAAGTATATCAGGATTTCTTTCAACTTTTTTAATCTTTCTATTTGTTTATTTTGTCCTATAACCCCAAGTATTGTCTGGCATTTTTTGATTTGCCATGTCTTGGTTTGTATACAATTTTGAGAAAAGGCACAAAAAACATTCTGCCTCCTAACTTAAATGCATTATGCCTGTTTTTCGTTTCAGCAGTCGGACGTGTTCCTCTTTGTCTTATTATGGTCCCAAAAGAGTGATTAAAAACAACATGCTTTAATTTAGATTGGATGCTGCTACATGGATAACTTCTTTCCCACTTATTTTCTTTTTCCAAGCTCTAATTCCTCTGTTAGTTTTGTATACAGACACTCAGTCAGCACTGTGACTGGAATCACCAATTTGCAGGCTGGATGCTTTTAGTCTGTGTTTACATGTACCCACGTGAGTAAAACCACTCTTTGGAACCGTCTGGTGAGAGGACTGAAATGTCACCGGGCCACACAATGATGGGTTGAGGACAGCAGCACGGAGCAGCATCACAATAATCAGAGTGGGAGGTTCAGACACGTATTTAAAGTCAAATATTCAAAACATGTGAAATGAAGAACAGCATGTACCTTGAACAAAGGGTGGACCCGTGCCCTGACCCCGACAAAAGGGACTAGAAGCTGACTTTGAACGTAGCACTTGAATTGTCAACATAAACCAAGCATACCCTCTTTCCATCTCATTTTCCCTTGACCTCGCAGATATACGCTGCACTGTAGAATGTCTATTTACCTGGGACTGACGACCACACAGAAACCTAAGAGTGTGTGTATGTGTGTGGCCACTCTTCCATGACTTGTCAATTAGCCTAGCAAAATGGTGATGCAACATGGGTCAGGAAAAGGTTAAATAAACAGAACACTCACTTTGCTAATGATGAAAAAAGAAAAGAAAACTGAAGTCAAAGTAGCATGTTTTTCAACTTACGTACACAACCTTTGAAGGGTGTGTAAGTGTGTGTGTGTGTGTGTGTGTGTGTGTGTGTGTGTGTGTGTGTGTGTGTATTACCTGGAGTGATGATTATGCTCTGGGCGTCTTTGATCATCTCGACGGTCTGATCAATGTTGACCTCTGTGTGTGTCCCGACGATCTCCATGGGCTTTCCTGTTCCGGTAGAAGTGGTGCCGTAGCCCCCCAGGATCACGTTAGCCAGGGAACGATTCATGGCCTGAGAGGGGAGAATGATATTTAGCATTTTATGATTACATTTTGCTTTCACTTGATTGACTGTGTTCAGCAATCAGAGACAATTTCAGAGTGAAAATCCCTCAGAAAACACTCATTTGTGACCCGAGATCTTATTTAGAAAGGGGACTGATGCAAAGTAACAGTCCCTCCTGGTGGACAGGAGAGGAACAATCACATTTTCATTAACATATACAGTGTTGCTGAGACTCCGACACTTACCACACACATAATGTATGACAGAATGGCTCCAGAGGACCCGATGAGAGCTCCGACGATGGTCAGCAGGTTGTTATTGAGCAGGAAGCCCTCAGCACACAGGGCCCAGCCTGAGTAACTGTTCAGCACGGTGATAACCACCGGCATGTCCGCGCCTCCGATCGCAGATGTCAAGGTGACACCCTAAGGGAGAAGAGAGGAGAACAGGAGAGGAGTTTCAGTCATTCTTCCAAATAAAGGAAAACAGCCTTTCCTGCTGCACTTCCATTTTTCACAATCAAATTCACTGGACATCTCTCCCTTTACCATCTATGTATTTTTTTGTTTTACAAAGGTAGTTATCAAAGCAGCAGCAGAGTTTTTTTATTCCAAGTGCACAGTGTATGATAGATTGTTCATGTTGACATACTGTAGACTTATCTGAAGGAGTAAAGACACACATTAAAAGCACAATGGATGGTCCATTACTCTAATTTTTTTAATCTGAAACTAATATGATGTTCATCTTTCTTCTCTAGGGATACACTGATCATCGTTTCTGGGATTGACTCCAGATTCAAATTTTCCAAGCAACACATGGACTAATGCAAATCAAGCATGAATTGATCACTTTGTAGTGTACATTAGTGCGTGCTCCTTGCTGCCGTCTGCTTGCCTAGATTCACATGATTATAATCTATGTTCAGAAGTGGAGCAGATTCCAGTTTAAGTATTCTACTGAAGTAAGCCTCCAGAAACTCTGAAGACTAATACAGTCTCTCTAGAGTTGCTGTTTATTGTTAAAGTTGTGCACGTCATGCAAGAGGTGAACCTGTCACACATTGTACTGTTGATCATGGAGATCTTTTCTCTCACAAAGACTGTAGCACATTTCTTTGCTGGACATTCATTTAATGGGGTCAAATACAAGCTAAGCTGTTGGACAGTATGGCTGCCCGACTATTTAGAGCTCTCTGCTCAACACTGACTACATATTTAAAAATCTACTGTGCAAAAGCCTGAATTGTATTAAGTCCTTTTTGTTTTATTTAAATCGCATAACAAATCCTGTCTTTTTAGCCTAACTTTCTCCCCGTTTTGTATGCCTTTTCCCATTCCTTCTGTGTTTATTTAAGTCTTTAAAAAACAATTTGACATGTTCTTCTGTCAGCATGTAAGAAAATCGTATTGGTAGAATTTGAGGTCAGACTTCTCTTTTGATAGGTCTTACTGAAGCTACAAAAACACACACACAAGCACACACGCCATACCATGACAGCGGAGAGAGCAGAGACTGATCCGAGGCAGGTGATGCCTGTGATGTAGCTGGGATCCAGCAGGTAGGGAACCATCCCGCCAACACAGGCTGCCATGAGAGACGCGTTCAGAGCATGGCGACCAGGGAGCATCAAGGGAGAACTACTCAGAACACCTGCAGAGGGAGAACACGCAGGGAGAGAGCGGATTCAGCAGACAATTGAATAATAATCACAACTAACAACTGCTCATAAACACTTCAATTCATTTATCAGCTGTGAACTTGTCTTAGAGATAAATATCTCAGACTAGAAGGAAAAAAGCCTGAGCAGCGTTAGATTCATCCTGCAGCAGTCACCACTTGAGACCTGTCATTAACTGAATGTCATGTTCATGCATAATTTGCCCTCATGAAACGCTTGCAGTCAACATTAAAATGTGGTTAGTAGGACTGGTGCCAGCAGAATGAACCCGATGAACTCTTTTTTTCCCTCTTTCCCCTGCACAGCTGGCAGCAGTAAATATGAAGAATCAGACCTTCTCTTGTTGATAACCACAGGTCGGCCAGACTGCCATAAAACACTACACGAATAATCCTGATGGGAGAGGTAATTCACATTAAAAAAAAATGGTCACCTTAATACCCCTTAGTATAATAGAGTGCAATAAGATGAACACTGATCTAACTGATGGTTATGAACTGAACAAAGAATAAAACGATTATACCAAATACATTTGTACAATTATTAACATAAAATGTAATATATAAACACATTCTAAAATATAGCCATGGTTAACTTTCCCGAAACACTATATATAACAAAGAAGAGAGATTTGGGAGATAGGGCCAAAACTATCCAAAGTTATTTTTCCAATGTAGATCTTGTAAAGTAAATCCTATGAAACATTTATTACTTTGTTGTGTTTATTATAAACACATAAAGGGCCACATTTAATATGCAGTTAAAGCCTTCTCTTTGTCTACCAGTGTAATAAATACACTTTATAATTCCACAACAGCAAGGATGCATGTTCTCTCTGGGGATCAGTGTAAATGTTTGCAGGGAATATGAATCAGACTGTGCTTCTCTCACCGTTCAGTTTGCCATATGCCACCAAAGAGCCACTGAAGGTGATTCCACCGATGTAGGTGCCGAGGTACGCGATTATCTTGGTGAAGTTGGCGTCAGGGGCTGTGGCGAAGTGGGGGTACTCGATCATGTACTCTGCCACGCAGGTGAGCATGGCAGCCAGGCCCACCAGGCTGTGGAAGGCCGCCACCAGCTGGGGCAGCTCCGTGATCTGGATCTTCTTAGCAATGACCAGGCCTTAAGGGGGGCAGGAGAGAGAGAGATAACACGTAAATGAAGTGCAGTGATCCTGAAAGACTCACACACTAATAACATCCAAATCACAAGCACACACTATCAAAGGACTGCTGGGAAGTGGGTCCATCTAAAGAAACAGGTGTTGCTGATGAGGCCTGTTCGGGGAAATTCCATGTTTGTGAGTGGGTATACGGTGTGTGTGTGTGTGTGTGTGTGTGTGTGTGTGTGTGTGTGTATTGTGTGTGCATGTCCTGCAGGAAGCCTGGAAATTAGCATTTGTGTTTGTTGGGATAGTTTAGTCTGGGTGGACTCTGTTACTGGAACAATTAGCATTTAAATGATCAAACTGTCCTGAACAGGCAAAAGAAAGTGAGTAATACGTGCTGCTGACCATTTAAGGCAGACCTCCAGAGTCTGGAGGGGAGTTAGTCACATTTTGTTTGATGTAAACATCACAGAAATGTGTCTGCGCTCTGCACACCTGCTGCTTAATTTAGTCAAGCTCGGAATCCATACACACGCACTGATGTCCAGTCATTTGGAGCTGCTGCAACACTGTTGTACAAGAACTTGAGTTTGCCTCTAAGCCTGTTATCCCATTATTTTCAAAAGGGACTCACCAGTAGTACCGCCGACAGCCATGGCTGCACTCATCTGTCCCAGGAGCTCAAGACTGGGTTGGAGGGCACCAAGGGTCGCAGCGATACCCCCCGCAACTCCGATCATACCCAGAGTGTTTCCCAGACGGGATGTTTTCTGGTTGGAAAGGCCAGCCAGGGCGCCGACACAGCACAGACCTGAACCCAAGTACATCATCTGGAGAGAGAAAGAGACGTAAAGAGGGGGTTTTAGACAATTAGGGACCACAGGATGAGAAATAAGGACAAATGATCTACTTTGAAGGTTCTGTTCAACATCTGGGAAAACACAGGGGGACCAGGCATAAACATCCTCTCTCGCACCTGTTCAATGTTGTATCCAGATTGCAGTGCAACTCCATAGCCACCGACAAAGACACCAGCAGGAAGCAGATAGAGGTAGCTGTGCTCTGGAGGATCAGTGGGACGCTTGAACATGTCCAACATCTTCTTTGTTACAAGGAAACCACCTGGGAGAGAGACAGAGAAAATTAACGGACGCACACTACACAGACGCTCAAATTCAGGTTTGAAAGTTACTTAACACAGAGTAGGGATTACAAAAAAAACTTTATTTATGGAAAAAACTAATTGCAAGGCGTCAAAATAGGACTGTACGAGGTTTTGAGGCAGGGAGGTCCAGGCATCTATGGTACATGTATCTCAAATAAAGAAAGCTTTAACAGTAAATCTGGGGGCAGATTTTTCAAAGACAATTGCTAAAAAACGTTGCCAAGCATTATAACCAAAGTAAGGAATTGAATTAGTCTACTTAATTTCAGTGTAAATATTTCAAGTAGAAAACCTTAAAAGCGTCAAACCGTGAGCAGACGGTGTCTCACTGCTCTACGCGAGGAGATCACATAGCCGTGTGCCTCCCTTTCCCCCCCGGCATGATTGGAACAAAACACACGTATATGCACATAAATGTACAAGGGTGAATCAGAGGCTAGCACCTGCATTTTACCAGTTCTTGTAATTTCAGTCCTAGAATATCTTAGTTAAAACACGAAACACAATCTGACTAATATTATTACTGACCAATCTGAGTCAATATATTAATATGGAGGAATGTTCATTTTCTATTTAGTTTTTTGTACCCAGAATGGGTCTGCCGAGACTATATTTAGAACGTTTACAAGAATAGAAGCAAGTCAGCAACACGTGCCAAGCCACGAGGTTCAGAGTCTGCAGCCATTATAGAAGCAGATCTGTGAACATTAGCCAACTTCCAAATAGCTCAAAACATAAAGCGAGGGTGATGGGAATGTCATTAGTGTTGCAGGTATATGATTGTCAAATAATGTTTTGAACAAATACCATACATTTTAAGACATCAATAAATCAAAGTTAAGATTCAAATCAATGAATGAAACGAATAACGTTCGTGGACTATGGGTTTTATGGAATTTCATAGAGCACAGAGAAATTTGTTTTGTATGAACATGTTTATCTAAAGTTATTCAGAGACCCAGGTGTTTTCCATCCACTTTTACTCCAACACCTTACGGCTGTGGAGACACACAAGGAAAACAAGTAGCTAAAGCCAGGGACCTGTTCCACACAACAGACTCACCGACTCAAAACGCTCAGGGGCTATTTTATCGGAGCTGCATTTCACTATTGTTTCTCGTACCTTCCAAGGAATGTTTTTCTCTGTTCCCAGGGGTTTATGGGTAATGTGGTAAACCACTTAGAAATGTGCGTGTGGAAAGGAACCCATGTAAAATATTGTAGAAGAGAGAAAATTGAAACTAGATATGTCCATAAAGGCTATGGTATTTCAGTATGCTTTTGTTATGGAAAATCTATAAGACTGATAGAGGGTTAGAACAGTAACGCTATACAGTAGAGCCTGGAGGACCCAAGATATTTAGCAGGATTCACAGCATGGTTTTTAACGTCAACATTTTTGTGGTGTATCTCACGTAAATAAACTCAACTAATAAGCTAAAGTGATCCATTATGCAAGTTAACTTTTCCTTCCCTTGAGTCTTCAGTGGTGAATAGCGGTGAGCTAACCAGGGAAATTAAAACAAATCCGCGGCTCAGCCCTGCAGGAACACTGTTTCCCAGGACTATTAGAGAGTGATGAGTATGATAATGACTCCAGGAACACTTTGGCGGTGTAATGGGAATTATTAAGGGTAATAGCAGGGAAGAATGTGTGTGGTCCAAGGCACAGGCACCGACTCCCTTCGAGCAGGTGGGTAGAGAGGGCAGCTGCTCAACTTGGTTTGAAGCATGTTATTGTACAATCAATACAAAACTCTTTAATCTGCAGTCGAAGTTGATATTTTATTGGCGAAAGGTTGCTGTAACTGGCGGGGATCACTGCGAGGTGTCTGTGTGCGGGTGACTCACCAGCGATGTTGACGGAGGAGATGAAGGCCGCCAGCACGGCCAGTGTCCCAGCGGTAGATGATGGGGCGTAGCCCCCACTCATCAGGGACAGACCACCCACAGCCGTCAGACCTGCAGAACGAGGACAATTTAAATTCATGAACCTCCATTTACATAGTTCATTACAGAAGACATTGAAACTTTCAGTGAATATTAGGAATGGAACAATATAGGATTGAATTGCAGATTCATTGGTTTGTTTAGAAGTTTTATTATCGAGATTATTGTGACTATCTACAATGGGTGACTTGAAAAAGCTCCCAACTTGATAACGTGGTAGAAAATGAAACCATAGAGCCTGATTTTGATTATATAGGTTTGATTAAGAATTATATTTTTGTATTCATCATTATATGCCGGGAGGGGGGGGTTGTGTTTTATGATGAAGATAAGTACGTTTTGGGGGTTTTTCTACATGAAAAGGTGTTCACTTAGAATATAGTTGTCGGTGGAAAAATGTATGTTTATTAACTAAGACGTAATGTAAAGCTTATGAGTATAAAGCATATGTTGATGATAGTCAAGGTATTGTGAATCGCAATTATTTTGGCTAGTGTAATCGTGAAATGTTTACATGTCCCATGTGTAGGGGAAATGTTACAAAAACACCAAAGCCCTAATTCAGTCATTAACAAGTTAATCTTAATACTTCAATTACCATTGTTTAACATCTATAGACATTTAAGAGTTGTGTTCCTAAGCTCAGAATACTCCTGCTTTCCACATCGGAAAAAGACAGAAAGGGAAGATTTCAAGATAAAAAAAGAAGGGGGGAGAAAAAGAGGCAGTGTGTGTTTATCAAAAGAGACTCAGGAAACCTTGATAACATCAGCCCTGTAATGACTTACAGGCAGTAAGATGCAACACGCAGCAGCCTGCATTCACACGGAATCATGTTTGAGGACAATTTAGGCTGACCAGCAGGTAGTGTGTGTACCAGTGTGTACATGTTGGTGTTGAAGTCAATAATGTAAGCTTGATTTCCCAAATGAGACAAATGCAAAGTTTGACCTTCTCTCCATTACATTAACAAAGTCAACTTTATAATCATGTGTGTATATCAGCTTCTAAACTGTGCACGTTTCAATTGCTATGTAAAAATTACTATGTGAATAAAGGATCAATTAAATAATTCACTGTTATAACAAAAAATACTTTTGTTAGTGACACGGGAATGGCAAGCTTTAAAAACATTTGTGGTTGGGTTTCAAGTACAAAGACATCTTACAGTTTATCAGGATGTCACTGATGATTAATGTTCTCCACAGTCTAGTGTTAGATGTGTAACTCAGATGCTACCCAAACACCTTGAATCTGATCTGCAAGCTTGTTGTGTATACTCTCAAATTCACACAGGTCCAAAGTGACAAGGGATGTCCCAATCAACTTGTATTTATTGAGTCTCTGTTGCAGGGAAACTTATACTTATCTAAATGTTGATTCAATATTTGAATAACAGATTTTCCCAAATTTGGCACACTTTACTTTTTGTGAGCTACTTGATCCAAAAAGAGGTGAAGTTACACCATTTAGACTGAGATCAAAGGCACGCTTGGCCACCGCAACTAATAGATTAGCCAGAATGAAAGCCAATAGGCATCAGTGGACACACACACGTATGTCCTGGGTGGGCCATTGACGGTAGGTGTGTGACAAACATCAGCTCCCAGGCGACAGAGTGGGACAGTGAGTCAGTGCTCTCAAGTAGATTAAAGGGTTTGTATCAGACACCAGATATAAAGATGTGCCTCAATGAGCCTCTGGATATGAGACCATAGTCTGAAGATTCCTGACTCACCAGCCAGAGTCACCAATGATTGTAACACTATAATCCCCCCATGAAATTTATAACTGTCCCTCACTCAAACACTAAATTCCAATACGATTCCCTAATGTCTGTGAATGATTCCGTGTGTGTCTTTACGAGGCATGGCACAACAACATCAGAATTACGTTGGTCTCAATATTTCCAGAACTACAGTCACTGAAGGGACAAAAAAAGTAGTACATGTGGTTATAAAATGCAAAACAATGTCATGTAAAAATTATATTTATTGATGGAATTTGACAGTAACATAAAGTGAACCATAACAGGGTGGAAAAAGTAAAAGGCACAATCCCAAAGAAACAAGAACGATGGTGTGAAGATGGTAATGTGAAGCTCCGTGACCCTGCTCTCATGTCCGGCTGTGTGGACGAGTAAATGAGCGAAGGACTTCCCTGAACCTCAAAGATCACCGACAGTTTGTTACTTCCTACCCTAGTGAGGGTCTCGAGTGTGATCAAAGGCGTGAGAACACACACATGCACTTACCTCTCTAACCTCTTCACCCCTCTGTGTTAAGTGGCAGCCGACAATAAGGACACAATCTTTATTTGGACTCTAAGAAGCACCAGCATGGCTGCAGAGACACGATGGACTGACGTACAAGATGTTTGATCCTCTAGCTAAGTCTGTACTTTATGATTTAATATTCTATTGTTTGTTTCACATATTTTATTAATACCATCTAATAGTATTCCGCGTGTTTCTGCATGGTCAGGTTGTTGTGTTTTTTTTAATTATATATATCCACTCTGTTGGACAATAATGTTATATTCTCCTCTATAAACCCCAGTTGACTGAATTTAATACTAAAGAGTCAGTGCTATTATTTATCAAAATGTACCCTCGTCAAAATGTGCAAAAAAAGACCATTTAGCCGGAAACTAAAACTGGTCTTTTTGTAATTAAATCAGATAAATAAATACATTTAAGAATGCGCTAGAATGGCAACTCTATTATTAACTATTACTATAAGGATGAATGTGACACTTCATCAAGCTTTAGATTCAGATATTCAGCCCTACCCTGTGCCTAGCAGTGGAGGTATTCTGGATTGCATTATACTGAAAGGTGTAAGAGACACATGAAACACGACCAACCTGAGATAGCGTTGGTGACAGACATGAGGGGAGAGTGCAGAGCAGGACTGACCCCCCACACTGTGTGGTATCCCACGATGCCAGCCAGACCAAAGGTGGTGACGATCTGAGTGAAGGCGGCGTTAGGAGCCACCAGGCCCAGACCCAGCAGGGTGGCAGCACCTAGTTAAAGAAGGAACCAGAGAGCGACTGTGAGAAATACAGAACACTTCAACAGTACATCCTGGGGGCAGATTTTATTTAAATAATATGAAAACAATGAGATAATTACCATGTAGTCTACAGTTTATTTATTAGGCTAAATTGTTGTTATTTCAGCACACTGAAAAGACTGAAAACTATACAATATTTCATACAATAAAAGGCCAAAATTAGTTTGTAAAAATGTTGGGCTTATTTTTTTAACCCCTCTGACCTTAATGTCAGCCCAGTTTAATTAGTGTAAATGAGCTTTGGATGCAACTTTAAGCACTTTTTTGACTGCAAGATGTGGTAGGTATTTGACCACCCAACATGTCCTTATTTCCTGTTATTTTAACAGACATAATTATCTGTTTAAAAGCAATTTGTCTGGTTACATTTGCGAGACTGGTGGCATGTTACAGATTGCCTGGTGTTGCAAACAGGAATCAATATCCATGAGAGTTCATCTAAAACTAATAAAACAACTTTTCATGCCACACTAATAGGCACAAAGCAAGTTCTCACTCTTCAAGAGGACCTAACACGAGCAGCTTTGTGAAGTAGGAAACCACCCGAACACCTGAACAATGTGTGAACCGCATTAACTGCATGTGGCGCACTTACACAGAGCGCTGTGTGGCACCATGGGAACCACTCACTGCAGCACTACTTCAAACACACACACTCAGCGTGACACTTTTTTCTTTTTACAATGCACACTTCCTGACAACTAACAGGGTGTCTGTGTTTGTCACTTCTCGCCTACTGTGCACATTCCACCTAAGAAGCTGATTATTATTAACCTCTGCTTCACCTTCTTGCAGACTTCAACCTCCTTTAAGACCCAACAGTAGACAATGAACAAGATTAAACCCATGAGCTCTCAGAAATAGCATCTCCCTGATTTCACGACTTGTCCACAAAATGTACATCTATTGGAATATTCTACTAACCTCCAGTGTACGCGCCAGCAGTAGTGAGTCTAGCCTTAAAGGGGGAGATTTGTGCAGCCTTCTCTTTATTCAGTTCCTTGATAGACTTGGGTTTAGGAGGAGGTGCAACAGGTACATTGTTAGGCTGGGGAGCGGGGAACAGGTTCCTTCCATCCTGGTGAAGACAATAATTTAGACATAGAATGGTATGATGTTAAAGTGAGAAAGAAACAAAAAGTTCAATCAATCTATAATAATGGTTATACAAAGAAATGGCTGCACAGTGATAAGGATAACTGTTAGTTATATCAACAATATCAAATTACATTTATTAGGAGCTTATATGATCTTTGCTTTTTTCCCTGATCTCATCACCTAATGGTGTACAATGTCCTCTGTTGCATTCGTAAATCTGTGAAACATTAGACTGTGCTGTCAAGATCAAAGTAAGGAAACTAATGATCAGTAAGCAGAGCAGGTATATCTGCATTTCAGCATCATTTGTAAGACGTGTGACCATTATTGCAATCACACATGGCTCAAATAACAACCAGAAATCTAATAGCTTACTCCAAAAGAAGGAACACAGCTTTACTAAGATTGATAACAACAGAAATAATACCCATTAAATAAAACAATGAGCTATGATTAAAGAACTATGATAATTGGTTTCCAACATCATGAAAAAAACCATTTTAAATGTACTGACCAGGACATTTCACAGGTTGAAAAATGAACTTGTGCAAGACCTTTAAATTCAATTGACCACCAAAGAAAAAAAGGCTTTCAAAGTAAAGAAGAGCCATTGTTTCTGCGAGGGACATTAATTGGCAGCTACAAAAACTGAAAGTGTAAGAAACATTGTTGTTAGGATGACATCTAGTGACGGTGAAAGGGAGCTGCAGGCCATACATTATTTTCCCTTTGACTGAATGAATCCTCTGTTTGCCCCCGTGTTGCAACCTTGGCATCGGCTGAGAAATATGTGCGACCTGTCAGCTGTACACATACATGCATGTTTGTCCGGCCACATTATACCGCGTACCTGCATAACAACGGATCCCCTGACGACGTGATCCATGGTGCCGTAGTCAAACTCTTCCTTTACGTTCAGGTAGAAGTTCTCCGTGTCGGGGCTGATGGCCCTCATCAACTTGGTGATGTTGTTGGAGTACAGAGTGCTGGACTGTGTCGGCAAACGGCTGGGCAGGTCTGTGTAGCCAACATGAATCACTCCCTAACAATGAAAGGAAAAGTAATTAAAAAGACAAAGTGCAAAAAATCCTGTTTAGTGTGAGTGTGATTATAAACACTGACCTTGTGAACTGACAGCTCTCCAGGTACTATAGTCTCAATGTTTCCTCCCGCCTCAGCAGCCAAGTCCACCACCACTGACCCGTCTTTCATGCTCTCTACCATCTGTTTGGTGATCAGGATGGGTGCACGCCTACCTACAAAGTTACAATGGAAAAACATGCATCAAGATATTATACCCCAAGTCAAGGAGTTCAAGTATCTCGGGGTCTTGTTCTCGAGTGAGGGAACAATGGAGCGTGAGATGGGCCGGAGAATCGGAGCAGCGGGAGCGGTACTGCAGTCGCTTTACCGCACCGTTGTGACGAAAAGGGAGCTGAGCCAGAAGGCAAAGCTCTCTGTCTACCGGGCCATTTTCATTCCTACCCTCACCTATGGTCATGAAGGATGGGTCATGACCGAAAGAACGAGATTGCGGATACAAGCGGCCGAGATGGGTTTTCTCCGCAGGGTGGCTGGCGTCTCCCTTAGGGATACGGTGAGAATTTCAGTCATCCGGGAGGGACTCGGAGTTGAACCGCTCCTCCTTTGTGTCGAAAGGAGCCAGTTGAGGTGGTTCGGGCATCTTGTTAGGATGCCACCTGGGCGCCTCCCTAGGGAGGTGTTCCAGGCACGTCCAGCTGGGAAGAGACCGAGGGGTAGACCCAGGACCAGGTGGAGGGATTATATCTCTTCGCTGGCCTGGGAGCGCCTTGGGATCCCCCAGTCAGAGCTGGTTGATGTGGCCAGGGAAAAGAACGTTTGGGGCTCCCTGGACCCGACCACGGATAAGCGGGAGAAGATGGATGGATGGAAGGAAGATATTATACGCATCTTCATGAAACTGCAGATAGTGAGGATACATGGCCCTACAAAGACTCATGAAACCATCAGAGTGGTGGAACAAATGTGAAACTGTTGTACAATAAAGTTCTTGTAACGCTATTTTAATGTTCAATATTGCATGACTGTTCCTTTTTATTTCTACATTCTCTGACTACCTGCCCAGAACACATGTCTGTGATATTCCATGACCTTTCGTTAGTTTGCATGAGCAATTTGTCCTTCACCTTCTACATTTATGGTCAGCGTTATTGCTGTGAATGTGTCTGTGCATACCAGGGATAAGAGCCGTGGTGATGACAATGTCCACCTCCTGACACTGCTTGGCAAACAGCTTCATCTCAGCCTCGATGAACTCCTTTGACATTTCCTTGGCGTAGCCTCCCTGTCCCTCTCCTGACTCCTTGAAGTCCAACTCCAGCGGCTCTGCGCCCAGAGATTTAAACTGCTCCAAAGCCGCAGCTCTGGGAGAGGAGAGAGAAAGGGGATTTTTATTCAGGTGGAAGGATAATATATTTGCTGGACTAGTCATGCAGGAGTAATATTGTTTGTCCTTAAAACTGCACACAACGACATTCACAGACATTAGTTGCTAAGGGCATAATGGAGAAATTGGCATACTTCTTTATCAAAACAAATCTGTTGGGCATTCAAGAAGTATGTTTCCTTCAGGACTGAAATCTTAAGGATTAGGATCTATAGCAAACATAATGTGGAAATCATGTAATATTGTTGTCACTCATTACCAACTCCTGGTTCCAAAAACCTTATTTGAGTGTTTTGAACAGTTTCTTCTTCAATAATACAAGAAAGTAAAAAAAGACAACTATTTCCTCTAGTCATATTTAGTTATTGAATGTAACCTTTCAAAGCCTGTATTCATTTCCTTTGCAATTCAGACACACAACATCAGGTATCAAAAACAAACCTGGTGTCAAATCCTCTGACGATGGCTCCCATGGACCTGGCAGAACCGGCTGCAGCCAGTCCAGCCACCCCACCTCCGATGATCAGAACCTATAAGCATACATGACATATGTGACCTGCTCCATCGAAATCAGTCGCATTGACCCGAAGACACATTTTGAGTTGTATACACTGTTGGAAAGAGGATATTCCTAGCTTTCTAATGATATCCTGATTGTTGTTCTACTTCAAATATTAAGCGAAATATGTCACATTATATAATGACTGTCACAGAGTCATCATTTTGAGAAACAGGCCTTCAAAGTTTTCTCTTCTCTGGAATCCATCGATCTGATTGATTATTAGTGGAGCAAATGATCAAAATACTACGGAGGGAAGATATTTTCGTTTGGAGGGGAAGCTCGCATGTGTGTGTGTGTGTGTATACCATAAGTGTATGTGTGTGTGTGTGTGTGTGTGTGTGTGTGTGTGTGTGTGTGTAATTTTGCGTTTGTGTGTATTGTGTTTGTTTCCCGGGGAAAACACTCACGAGAAACACCGGCTGTTGTTATGCCTGCTGTGACGTTAAGTTACTCCGTTCTCCGCTTGTAATTATGTCGTTACAAGCTTCAAAGTTGTATTTATCACCTGAATTTGCCGAAACAAGTTTAATATTCTGAAAGCCAAGACTTTGTTTAATTGAAATCAGATGAAAACAAACTGTAACGGAACCTGCCGTGTTATCTATGATTACTATACTCTTACATTCATAATTTCAGCCGGAGGGAGGGGGGGCGGCGCTGCGGAAGAGCAGATTGCGAGTGAGAGGTGCCTGTCTTCTTCCCTTTACAAGCTTCAAAAATATATTTATCGTGTGATTTTGGAAATAAAAGTTTAATATTCTGAAAGCCAAGACTTTGTTTGTTTAAAATCAAACAAAACACCCGAACAAATTGTTTTTTTACGTAAATCCACGTTTATTTTGAAATGAGCCGTTGCGACTTCCGACTGATTTCGATAGAGCGGGTCACATATTAGATGGATTAAATGTGTTATAACTGGCATAGACACCTTCACACAGAGACGAACACTCATACTACATACCTTTGCAGGTGGCACCTTCCCAGCTGCTGTTATTTGTCCAGTGAAAAAGCGACCAAAGTTGTTAGCTGCCAATATAACTGCCTTGTACCTAAAAATTAACAGAGTGAAACATCAAGCAATAAAGATATAAGTATGAACAGCCATATTTGTCATTATTAACATACATACCCTGCAATGTTTGCCATGGAGCTCAGTGCATCGTAACCCTGGGCGATGGTGACTCGGGGTACCTGGTCCATAGCCAGGACGGTGGCCTTCTTCTGGGACAGCAGGTCCAGCAGCTCGGGGTTCTGGGCCGGGTAGATGAAGCTCATTAAAGTGGCTGACTCCTTCATCATGTCCACCTCATGGGCACCCAGCTCAGGGTTGAAAACGGGAGCACGGACCTGGAAGCGAATTATTGCATTGTAAAGGTTTAGGAAAAGCAGTAAACATAAAAGGGTAGAATGTTTTAATACATTTCTTTAAGCTCTTCGAGAAGCATAGTGTAAACGAATGAAATATTTGGATTATTGAATTATCACAAAACCCTACTTCCCACTCCTCCTCCATCCCCCACTGAAATCCTACCTTGACCAGCACATCAGAGGCCATGACATCTTTGACGTCTTTAATCGTTGCTCCAGCCTGGATGTACTGTTCGTCCTGGAACTTGGAAGGCTCTCCAGCTCCCGACTCCACCACCACGTTGAAGCCCTGCTTGATGAGAGCCTGCACGCCAGCGGGAGAAATCGCCACACGACGCTCATTCTGGAAGATCTCTTTAGGTACACCCACTGTGAGTTGTTTGTAGGGAATACCTGCAGAGGCAACAATACAGAAGAGTGACATCAGTGACAGATATTACATTGATTCATATATTCAAACATTAAAAAAAGCATAAAGACAGATACACAAACAATTATACTTTACTGTAATTGCATTGATTGAATGGATTCAACTTGTATCTGTCACAAATGATTTATTTTGAAGATAAACAATCTTATATGCAGATAGTTCTGCAGCTTTAAGGAGAATATTTACAGAAAACAGACACGAGTGGAGTTAAAACAATGTTTATGATAAACACTGTCCTGTATGTGTGCATGGCCTTTGTAGGCAGATAGACAAGGTCAATGTCAAACTACAACACTCAGAGACTTCAGCTGCTAATGAGGCTGCATGTCTTTAGCTTTGCAAGTATTTGGTCATAAACTAAAGTACATTTTAACCGAAAAATGTATTTCCATACCATTATTGTGCTACTTCATTAGTTAGATATCTAAAGAACTCTCACCTGCAGGTCAAAGATAACAAAATTATAGTCAAGATATTAACTTATTTACCAAAGTAAGATGTAGACATAAAGCGATATAAAAGTCAAATGTGTTGTCCAAGAAGAAGAAACAGACCTGATTCAACATGTCTTACAACAATAGGGAAGCTTATGATGAGATTTACATTTGTACATTGTAGGATAAAAGGATCAAAACAGAGTCAAGTGACTTGCATAAACATGTAGCAATAAATAGGCAAGAGACGGAACTATTAATATTTTAAGAAGGTTATTTTCGTGTTATATCAGCAGGTCACATGTTGCTCCTATGGAAAATTCCACTGCAGCTCTTTCTTTTTTTTGTACCTCCTTCTCCTTGTCTATACATAAATAGCCTCTGACAGTCTGCCTTTGCTTTAACCCTCAACCCAACTATATAAACCAACAGAGATCACATACCACTGTGTGTCCCATTTGTGTCTGACAACACATTAAGCACCCAGTTATCAATCAGCTGAAGTGATTTAAATCAGAGAACTGGGTAGTCTATCCCATGGCCGCCTGCCTTTCGTTAGAAAATATAGTATAAGTACAATTAAGTAAATACCAGCAAATACACCTGACCGATCAAGATTATACTATCATCTATAAACATGCAGATTAAAGAAATCATACACAAACTAAGTTACACAGGTGCTTTCAAGCAGGCAGCACAATACTCTCCTGCTGTTTCATCCTAAGAAGAATACTTTTAACAAGCATGTATATATCTTCAGGACTTTAAAAACAACTTTACATTTCCAAATACTTTGAGGAATAAAGTGCATTCAACATTTTTAATAGACAAGAATACAAACAATGTTTCTCAGGCAAGAAACAACAACAATTTAATCCTCCTCAGTGTACCTTTATGAAAACAGACAAAATGATAAAAGTCTGGCCTTATTTATTTAATTCATATCATAACACTCGTCCCCCAAAACATTTCCATTGAAATGTTGGTAATGCTTGCGAGTTAAGAAAGGCAGTTCATAGAGCACGGTGTAATTTTGTCCACGTCATAATTCAAAAATCCAGTCTTACTTCAACACCCTGCCTCAGTCTATACAGTACGTCTATAGGCTCCCTGGAGGTCAGAGCATAAGCACATGCATGTCAAATGTGTGTGTTGTGTCCCACTCCTCCACTTGTCTGAGAGTCTGTCAACTGATCCTTGTGTGCCCAGAATATAGGCTGCGAGCTGTTGCTGAAGCTATTTGCACTGCAGGAATGTCAGCATGAACCAGGTCACCAGCACCCCCTAAATACCCACCTACACATGAACCCAGTGCACGCAGACATGAAGCACCTGCAACCAGCTGGTACTGGATATCTCTCACACACACACAGAAATACACATATTCTGCCAGGTTACTGTGTACACAGTGGGGGCATGTCAAATGGAGAATAATGCCTGGGGACTATCGTATCCTAAATGTGACCTTGATTCAGAGAGCAAATCCTGGTAGCAACACTGACCTCTATAGTAAACTTTTAAAAACATATAAAGAAGGGATAAACATGCAGAAAATTATGAATGAATGGGTAGAGCAGGATCTACTACTATCACATTTTGATCACTGTGACAGATTTGATTCACCAGCTGCCAAGGCCAATGAAAGAACTATATGAATAGTTTGCTTGTCTGTCCACTTTAAAGCAGAGTAGCTTTAGGTTAGTGTAATCAGTATGTGTCCACTACATGTTGCAGCTGATACCCAGGTTGTTGTTGATATACTTTATGAATCCCTCGTGGGGAAATTGTTTCTCTGCATTTGACCCATCCTAGTGTTAGGAGCAGTGTGCTGCCATTTTGAATGGCGCCCGGGGAGCAGTGTAGGGAACGGTGCCTTGCTCAGGGACACCTCGGTAGCACTTGGTCTTGACGGGACTTGAACTGGTGACCTTCCAGTTGCCAAGCCAAGTCCCTATCGACTTTGCCACTACCGCCCCATGAGAATGCAAACAGAACATACAGGTGGTGTGGCTTTAGGTGTTCTATCAGTAGTACAATGGGGCCACAACTAAAGCTAATTCCAGTAATCGATCACTTAATTTATTAATCTTTTGGTCAATAAATTGCCTTTCTCTAAATTCCAGAGTCCAAGGTGACAATCAAACTGCAGTTTTTCCATGATCAACAGGAAAAACGTAAAGAGATTTAATGTACCATTATATGTATAAATATAAAAGAAAAAACATTTGTACATTTTGAATTTATCCTCAGTGGGCATCCTAGTAAAAAATATCCGCTTTTAAGCATTGTCTTAGTGTTGTTAATTCACTGACTGTATGTAAACAAAAAATGTAATCACTACTTACATTATTGTACCATTAGATGCTTTCTGACATTTAATTGTGTACATATACCCATGCCCTACATAGTGTCTTACCTGGACTGGCACATCGCCCCAGAGCTTGATTGGTCCTGAAAAAGCGAAGGCATGATGATTTGATAGCACCACCGCGCTGCAGCTTGGTACAGGAGACGCCGCTGAACACAGGGGCTGAGCAGCTAGCCACCACAACACGAAGGAGACTCGCCATGGTGCACACACACCGACACTCACACACCAGGAGGAGCTATAGAAGACAAACGGCACCCCTCCTGGGAAAGCGCAAGGTGAGAGATAGAGCACCAGCAGACAGAGAGGGGAGGGGAGGGGTGGTGGGTTATGGGTAAAGAGGAACAGGAGGATGAATGTAGGTGAAAGAGAGAGAAACAAATATATTTGTGTTAATATCTCTGCATTATTAGCTTTTTGTTGAATTGTACATACTCTCATACTTGTGAAAGTATGTGCCCACATGTTCCACAGAAATATGTTTCACCTTTTTCCCTTGTAGATCAAACACACAAATGACCTATGTTTATTGAAAAGGTCACACTTCCCTATATGCATGTGCACTTAAATCAACACATATTCTGACAGCCACATTAGGAATCTGGTATTTGCTCTCATATAGGTATCTGTAGATTGTTATTTTCAAAGTTCCATTTATTTTTATTTTAGCCTACTGAATGACTCAGTTAACAGCATGAAGGACAACATGTTTACTCTAAAGGGAGATAATGGAACTGAGATAGACTGGGGTGGCTTGGCTAGTGAAGTAGGGTTTAAACTAGAATTGACTGGCAATAAACTCAACAGTGCACAGAATAAAGAGTGTTTTAGTTAAAAGGTCAAAAACAGCCACTGATAAGGAAGAGAAATCAAATGACAACTGAGAATAAAAAAAGTGCTTCAACAAGAGCTGATTTATCAAGAAAAACTGCTTCTAATTTGCTTATTCAAACACATTAAAGCTACTTCTCTCTATTTTTTATATAAATCTTTGTACACTGGATGCGTTTGAGTTTTGGACTCCAATTACTTTTGACGGTTTTTTTTACAAGGTGCTGGTATTTTAAAGCATAAACAATTATTGAATCGTTGCTAAATAATAAGTTTAGTCAATTGGTGATACAAATTAGCATAGGCATGGTTGCAGAACTGACTACTTGATAGACTTTGTAGTCGAGTAAAATGATCATATGTCATTGCATATAATCAATGGTTAAAATTAAAGTGCAAAGCATACACTACGTCTACTCTAATCCAATTGAATTATGTCTTGTTTACTATTAGTTGAATTAGTCAAGTGTGTTCAAGTTGACTTTACCATTAAAGGAAGCTAATAAAAAAAAGGCAAAAAAAACGTTGAGAAATGTTAAAAAGGAAAAGTTTGATTCATAAGTAAATAAGAATTGACTAATTGAAATATTATGTAAACTTTTACAAAGAAACTATTTAAAAAACAAAGACAGGCCGTTTGAAGAGCAGTGCAGCCTGGTGTGTTCAGAACTCTTATTTCATGTCAGCAAAAATGAAGCTACCACGTCAGCAAAATGTATGGCAGTCTTCATAAAATATGAATCACATATGACCCAAATCTGACTCCATATCACACAGATGCATTTAACATGTTAACATTAACATTAGCTCACAAAAATAAAAACACGGCGTCACAGTGCAAACGCTTGTTGCTTTGTACTGAATGTTCAGGATTTAACCCGGGTCAGGACTTGAACGGCTCACTTAACCCTCAGATTAACGGCTTCTTTATTTGAATGTATGACCCAATAAGTCACCAATTAATCAGAGTCTCACAACTTTGTCAACCTGTGGTTTCATTCAGAGACCACGTAGTGTCAACAAGGGGTTAATTCAATGTGTGTTTGGGGCTAAATGCAGTGCAGTTTCCCTGTGGCTCACAGATAAACATGATTATAATCCAAACAGCTGCTGCCTCCCGCTTCTCTCCTTTTGTCTGCACATTACTAACGGGACAGAAAGCTAACATTGGCTAGCTAGCGCTTTAGCCCGTCAGCTAACACACACATCTGTCTGGTGGATGAATGCGACGTAAGAGTAAAAAAGCCCCCTACAGACGAAAATAAATGCAAACGGGTAAAACATGCAAGGTGAAAAGTGAGAGTGGTAAGCGGAAACTCGACTGACCTTTGCAGAAAGTCCTGGCTCTGTGCAGCGCAGGCGAACTCTCTGCTGACCCGGAAGATGACGGAGAAAGCGGGCGACACCGGAGTGTTATTGGATCATATGAGAAAATCGAGAAAATGCATCAGAGGAAATCAGGTGACAGGTGCAAACGTTTTGTCACCCAATATGCAAGAGCATATTTCTTAATCACAAACCATGCAAAGACGTATGCATTAATCAAGAAATCAATAAAATAAATGTCTTGATTAAAATTAAAATAAAGCACATCTGAAATGGCGTCCCAAAATGTACTGAAGTTGCAACTCTGTATTGTTCCACAGAGGAGCGCTCTTTGACCATGTATACAAACTATTGCACTGTGGAATAAAAAAGTAAATAAAATATTTGGTCTAGCTATGTTTTTTTTCAGATGTAATTTTTCTTCTAACCTGATATTAATCAAATTACCTTGCATGTGGGCTATGGATATGCCTAAATCATATGTCATTGCTGAAATATAGCCTACTGTGGGTATGCAACATCCATGTATTCATTGTAAAGCTTCGTATGTTTTGCCATTTCAAACTGAGTAAAATTATAAAAATTAAAGATAAGTGTAATTTTCTGTTACTGTAGCTGTGATGCATTCCTTTTTGTGTACTTCGGTATTTATTGTGGTGTATCCCCTTCTATAAGATGTCAAGGTGTCATGATGGGATATCTACTCACATATAAATATAAATGTCTAACATAAAAGGTCTAAAACAATCTATTACATTCCTTTTAAAGTATTTCACCGCCGTTTGAACTGCGGTGGGCCCCCTCCAGCCCCTTCAAGGTCTAATCAGTTCCACGTTCGAGCAATGCCTCAGTTGTTTAAACATATGGTGCAAGACTCACATTCTCCACTAAGCGGTGCTTTTTAATAAAGTATTTTACATCGCGTCATCTATTGCTTTTTCATTTACATTTGTGTTGATAGCTCCTGAAAATAAGAATCTAATGAACTGAATACAGTAAGTAGAATTACCATTGAGATTTCAATTTATGGGCAGTATTCTTGTATGACACATAATGAAATATATTATAAGATAATTGGCGTGGTGGTAGAAGTGTGTCTGTGCTTGTAGATACACATGAAAGGTGGTTGGCCTTCCTTTTAAGCTTTTAGCTGTTAAACTTTGCTCATGAGAACAGGAGCAATAACTCTTATCTTCAGCATATTTAATCGTGCGCAACAGCACACCCCTTCACTAACAGTGTAATATATGCACTTCATACAGTATGAATACTCTCGCTCACATGCATACTGTTCATCTGGTTCTCTTTATCAGGCTCAGAGAGTGGAATGCATTGTAGCTACGCCTGGTTTTCATTTCAATCGTTCACCCTTAAGGAAGGCTCATCTAATTGCGTGGGATTTGCCTCAATGTCTTTGCTTTTATTTTTGCCAAATTCTGTCTTCCTTCCTCAATGAAATTCATACTACAAACTCAACCAACATGTGTACTTTTAAGGTCAGGGAACAGATGGAGGAACATTTCAAGTCCTAATGCCTTTCAAGAGACATTGTTTTCAATAAATTCACACTACCTGCTGTCACTGTAGCTTGCTCATTTAGTAGATATTTATAATATATTGCTCGTTAAATATGTGTCTTTTGTTCCAATTTCTTTTTTCAGGCCAATTGGTTTTTTCCCAGGTCGTTATTTTGAAAAACAAGGATTGAAGGAAGACCAATTGCATTTTGGGTGATTGCACATCAAGGGCCATCACATCTTTGACATATGGTGACTGATCCTGGCTTTACATAAAAAAGAAGGAAACATCAGCATCATGGATCTAATCCCATATGAATCATTCAAGGCCTCTATCATGTCACTGCTGCTGTCTACACTACATTTGTTATATATATTTGTTTGTGCTCTGAGAGGACTTACTATATTATATTTACAGAGTCAATTTGGATAATTTAAAATGCCCTATCATTTTCAGGGGAAAACATCTAGGTTTGATTTCTGGTGAGAATTGATAGTTGAGATGATTGTAAAAAAGTGATAGATGGCTGGTTTCAGGATTTAGTTTAATGTTGTCAAGATGTAAGGAGGTTGAGCTTTAATGGGCTGACGGGGGGAGGGATGAAAACCTTTTTCCTGACAGTCTGTCGGGTTAACTAGCCTGTAGGCACATTTTCCTTTGCTTAACAACTCTGAACTGGTGTGAACCTTTCTAGACTGCGGCATCCATTAGCCTGTCTGGGTCATTTACGGTCATAGCCCCTTCATTTAGAAGCTTTAACTCCTGTTGAACAAATGGCTTTAAGCTAAACTGCTTTTACTATTATCACCCACTTTTACTACGCCATTCTGTCAACACTTCTTCCTCTGACTTGTGGGAGGCAGCAGGCAATATTCACTGTCAGTCTCTGATAGATACTTACGGAATTTTAAACATAAATCTGTCAAAAGCGGTCAATCTTTACAAGGTGTAATAGTGGAAATAATTTGATTTTGCAGGGTTATTGTCTCTTCAATTGCCCCGCTCTAGAGGGAGGTCAAAGGTCAAGATCAGCTTTACAGCAGCCCCCTGACTGAGACCTACAGTTATGCAACAATGTGTGTGTGCATGTAAGAGACATTTCTTTCATAGATAATGGACACTAAAACAGTCAGCTGTGGGACAAAACAGCACCACACATACACACAGAGAATGTGTAAGTGTATATGAGAGAGAAAGAGAAGGAGAGAGGGAGAAATAAAGAAAAAAACGTTCCTCAAGAAATGCTTTGAAGTCCTAAAAAACAGGAGTTTCCTGTTAACGATCCTGGGGTATAATGTGAACCAGGAGTGTGTGTGTGTGTGTGTGTGTGTGTGTGTGTGTGTGTGTGTGTGTGTGTGTGTGTGTGTGTGTGTGTGTGTGTGTGTGTGTGTGTGTGTGTGTGTGTGTGTGTGTGTGTGTGTGTGAGGGAAGTCTCCCCACTCAGTCCCTCTCTGCTGGTAAGAGGGGTTAACATAACTACAGTCTCTTCTATCCTTTTAACTTTGAGATTCATGTCAGATTTGATCCACCTGCTTTATCTAGGATACAGAATTTTCCCGTCTTTAATGGAGTTTTGAATTTGGATTCGACATATGGATTACTCGGCTTTGCGACTGATGATTTAAAGCTTTCGTATTCTTAAATCACTTCTAAAGAGCTGGCAAATCCATTCTGTTTCAGATGCAACGCTGCTGCCTAGAACAAATGCATTTTTTAACTCGAGGATTTGTGAGCCGCTAACTATTTCCAGCTGATTAACAAACCGACTACTCATCTGTGTCAGTAATGATTGTTCATTTCAATAAGTCAAACTGGCCTCTGCTGTTCTTTGCTGCTCTGTGGAGCCTCAGCTACCCGGGTCTGCTCACCGCATCGCCGGGCATCAGTCGCAGCAAGCCCAAGGAGCCGCTGGACCCCAATGTGAGGGAGTGGGGAGACTATTCAGACCTCCCCCCTGGGATCGAGCAGGGGTTGGGGTTAGACGAAGAACATGGCGATAACAGAGGAGCTGGAGAGTCCTCAACCAGCCTGGCTCCGGAGCTGGATTTCCTGGCAGACTTTGCAGGCAAGACAATACAATTATCAGCTGTGTTATTTTCATTTCTGTTTATCTACTTATCTCTAAACCCTTCCTCCCCTCCAGGTAAAAAGAGACTGTGGGTGATCACAGCTCCATCCCATAATGACCACTACCTTCGTATGATGGAGAAACAGCTGGAGGAAATGGAGCAGGTAGGTTTATTTTCTCTTTAGATATACCCTTTAGAGTTTTATTTAAAAATAAATGTAATATGGAAAGTGAAAATATTTGTGGAATTTGAGAACAGGTAGAAGAAATCAAGTTCTTACCAGGCAAAGCTTTCCAAAGTCCCTTGTGAAACACATTTTCCCCGGATTATTTTTTCGAAGTCACAATTTTTTCTTGATGTTCTTGTCAGGATCATGTATCAGTGTGTGTTGTTGTTGTTGTTGTTGTTGTTGTTGTTGTTGTTGTTGTTGTTGTTGTTGTTGTTGTTGTTGTAATACTCATTTTGTCCACAAGAGGCTGAAGTGCACCACACCTTATGTGTTTAAAGTGCATGGAGAAATTAAAGTCCCCTGGAAGAAAACATTGGGGTCATGGGGTATTTCTCACAGATGAAAAATGTTAAGTCGTTTCAAATAATATCCTAGAGTTATGATCCAAAGCTTTTTTTCCACTTTTGTCATAGATACACTTTGTTTTAAACCATTTACAAAGATTACTCTGAGAAATCCTTTTTTCACCTATTCTTAATTCATATAAACAATTTAAAAAAAAGTTAAATCCAAATCAGGAAAAGGATCACCTGATTATTTTTCTCATTAGCATTGCAGAGCTTCAATAGCCTTTCTGTAACTCCTTTTCTTTGTTTTGCGTCTCTGCCGGACTCTTTCACCTTTCAGAAAGCGCTGAACTGCCGTCTAGCAGAAAGAGACACATTCATCGTCACCATCATCCAGAACGCCATGATGGAGGGTCGAATCCAGAAAACAACTTTTGAAGGAGAGGCCACAGTGGAGAGCCTGGACCCGGACACAGTTAGCAAACTGCTACATTACCTGGAGCTAACCAGCCAGGTAACCAGTTAGTCGCTCAACAACATAATATGCTAGCTACAAACATTTCCTTTTAAAGTTTGTATGTACATTCTTCAGTACCTGACCGTTTCTCCTTGTCTGTACCAATGGTTTCAGGAGCAAGGCTTCACCATGCTGGTTCTAAAGAAAAACCTTCGGGCCAGTGAGCGCTTTCCTTACCCGGTCCGGATTGAGGCGGTTTTGGAGCTCATTGATCAGTTTCCTTTGAGAAATCTGGAGAAAATGACCAGAAGAGGATCCAACTTGAGGTCTCATTATACTGGCATTTACTGAAACAGAGAACAAAGGAAAGGAGATCAGTCTACTTTCAATTTGAAGTGGTACTTTTATTAGGAAAAATGTTTTGGGAAATTCTTCTTCAGTTAGGAGTTAATGCACCAATGGAAGAATGCTTGTTACATTCCAAGTAAATGTGACATGGTAAAGGATTTCAATGATTGTTTCTGAGTTGTTTTCTGGAAAAATCGACATACATTTGACCTGACAAATGCTGTATTATGTTTTATTTTATTCAGATGTAAAACCACTAAAAAGAAGCTTGTGATGAAAAGGAAAAAGAAGAAGGTACTGAGCCCTCAGAGGAGAGGGAATGTGACTTCTGTTGTGGCTTTACAAAGAAAACCTCCCATGGACAAAAAAGCTGCCCTTAAGAGTAAAATCCAGGAAATACTGAGTGGACGGTCGAGGTTTGTTATCCGTAAGGGGTCAACAAGGGTGAAGGAGCCTAGCAGTGCAGGTGGGGCCACTTCTAACAAACAGAAAAAGGTGCAAAGCCCTCCATCTGTATCAAAGAGCATCGAAGAAGTGAAGAAAGACAGGTGTTCATATTTATAGTCAATCTTTCCAACATGGTAGACATAGGAGTGCTGATGTTTGATTCCACTTAAATCCTGCTTAGATGTTATGTTTCCATCTGTTATGTCAGGCCTCTCCAGTCATTTAAACCAGGAAGAGGTGCTATTTTCAATACTGGACGAACATCAAAGTAATGTTTTCCTTTTCTACTGCAGGCCTGACTCAGCTGTGGAAGGAGGGAAGAGAACACATGGCGGGAAAAACGGTGATGAGAAAAAAGAGCAGAATGTAAAGGAGGACACGCAGGAAAAACAAAGCTCTAAGAAAAAGGGTAAAGGGAAGAAAGGGAAGAAAGGAAAAGGCAGAGGGAAAAAGTCCAACAGAGAGTTCAGTGAGAAGGATAAAACAGCCCTGAAGGAGTTTTTGGACAAGTTGAAGGGGGCAAGAAGGTTAATGGTGAGAACTTTTTTTCCTTATCTTTTACCAGATCCTGATCCACATTTTACAGTAAATGCATGCACAACAAATAGACTTTAAAGACATATGTGTGCCTGATCAGTAACTCCCCATCATCCATTTAAAGAGAGATGCATCTGTTTTGGTGTTGTCCTGGTAATAGTTGATCTCAACGCCCAGCAGAGAGGCAACTCTGTACATCCAGCAGAGAGACGACAGCAGGAAGCAACACTGTGACCTCGCTATTAGGAAGATCACCATGGTGATCATTGTGGGAGAAGGAAGTGACGCCACGCTAACTATGCAACACCACCAGCTAGGTGTGTGTGTGTGTGTGTGTGTGTGTGTGTGTGTGTGTGTGTGTGTGTGTGTGTGTGTGTGTGTGTGTGTGTGTGTGTGTGTGTGTGTGTGTGTGTGTGTGTGTGTGTGTGTGTGTGTGTGTGTGTGTGTGTGTGTGTGTGTGTGTGTGTGTGTGTGTGTGTGTGTGTGTGTGTGTGTGTGTGTGTGTGTGGCCTAGCATTACTATACTTGTGGGGACCTAAATCTGTTTACACAGTCACGTGTGGGGACTCGCCTCCCTTATGGGGACAAATTGGAGGTCCCCATGAGGGGAATCATTCATTTTAGGGTGAAGACTTGGTTAGGTTTAGGGTAAGGGTAAGGGTTAGGGTTAGGCATGTGTTGGTTATTGTTAAGGTTAGGATAAGTCTCCAGGAAATGCATGTAAGTCAATGTAATGTCCCCTGAAGTGATGTATACATGGTATGTGTGTGTGTGTGTGTGTGTGTGTGTGTGTGTGTGTGTGTGTGTGTGTGTGTGTGTGTGTGTGTGTGTGTGTGTGTGTGTGTGTGTGTGTGTGTGTGTGTGTGTGTGTGTGTGTGTGTGTGTGTGTGTGTGTGTGTGTGTGTGTGTGTGTGTGTGTGTGTGTGTGTGTGTGTGTGTGTGTGTGTGTACACAGTATGATGTTGTCTGTTTGAACATTTGCATCTACAACATTTGGTTAGGTTCCCTCTATGGAGGATCTCGGAAATAAATATTGAGCAGATATTATCTATTTGTTTTAACTAACTACTGTCGGAATATTTGAAACCAACAGAGGAACACTTTGTATTTTTCTACAATGTGTAACCAAACGCAAATATGGTGTTTCCAAGCGGCAAAGGCTTAGTTTACTGTGAATTGCAAAACTGTCAAACAGTGAATCCTTTTAATCTTGCATATGTTGTAACAAAATGTTGTTCAAGCTTCTTCCTCTTCTCAAAACATCTTAGATTAGAGGGTAAGCATGCTAATATTTGACAAATTAGCAGAAGACCCAAACTTTGTGCTTCATCTTTGAAGAATGTAGGTATTTGGTCATAAATCAACGTTCGGAAAACCCCATAAAACAGGCCTACAAATACAGTCCCTGAAGGTTACACGGTGGTTGCACTGGGTTACACTAATGTAGATAACTGTCTGTTCCCGCGTTGATTTACGTTTTGTGTGTTTCAGAGTCTGAGCCTCCACTCAGTGACCGATCAGAACATTTCTCAGACTCGGGTCTGATCTCTCTGTTGAGATCAGAGCTCGGCCTGTCGTCCTCGGACCTCTTTTCCATGACCGTCACAGACTATGACATCAAGCCCAACGTAAAACAGTCTTCTCTGAACTTTTTATTGTCTTTTTATCTGGGTTAGATAAGTGTGCATGCTCGTTCTCAGCACCACTCAGGATCACACCTGGAAGTAGTCTAGTTCACAGCTGGCCAGTGTGTTGAGAACAATATTCACCTCGTCTGCCACAGACAACATGTTTTAAAAATTACACATCTAGTACCACCATTTCATTTATTTGAGAAAATCCAATAGAATTGAGCACAATTGAATAAGAGATGTTTGTAATGAATTGATACATTTAATGAAATAGATGTGTTTTTGTTTCGTTGTTGTTTTAGGCATGTCAGGACCAATTGAAATGTAATTCCATGTAATATTTAACCTGACCTATTTAGCTTTTCTTTACCCTAGAGAGTTTTTGAGGCTCCCCCATCAGGTCCTGCTCTGTTCGAGTACATTGACAACTTTGCCTCAAGGCGCTCAGAAAAAGAAAAGGAAAGGAGGAGCCCTCCGTCCTGCTCCAATGGGAAGCAAAAGCCTGAAGCTGATAATATACTGCTCAGGTACTGCACGTTAGCTTAGTGTTCATTACCATCTAATACAACGCAGATACAAACACTTCCTCTCATCTCTTAACCTGATGTCACCTACCACTGACTGATACCCCATTATCAAACTAGATTCGTGTCTAAAAGGAGACTGCTGCTCATCTCTGCTCCCTCTGAGGACGACTACTCCTTCCAGCAGCAGCTCTCTGCTCTCAGTGGACAGGGGTGTCACTTGGGTCAGGAACACACACACACACGCACACGCACACGCACACGCACACGCACACGCACACACACACACACACCCTACACTTCTGCTGCACAATACACTGCTTGTCTTCTCTGTAGTTTTCGGTGCAATGAGGAAATGTTTCAACAGTCACATTTCCTGTCTGACCTTCCAACCAACAGTGCCAGTTGCCTTATTGGGCAGAATTGCATAATAACTATTTTGCAAAGAAGGACATACATGTATATAAGTGTACTTTATTATTTTACTATAACGTATTCTTATGTATTAAGACAGATAAGAGGTCGACAATTACATTTACATTTGAGTACTGTACTTGAGTACAATTAGGTGTACTTTTAGTGTTTTTAATGCCACTTTATACTTGGATGCTTTGACATATTTTCAGAGTTTATTACATTTTTGAAAATACATGATTTATGTAAAATATATAAGTAATTTTATAATTGGCCATCCTGCAAAAGCTATTTTTTTAAACATTAAATAAATCTATAATAAAAAAAATGTTGGGTCTTTCCTCAGGCATTCGCCACTTTGCCATGTTGAAGCTGATTGGAACTGGGAACAAAGCATCAGGAACTGTTGAACTATTTCCCCTAAACGGTAATAATTTCATTTTTGTAATTCCTTCAAACAGTCTGTATAGAGAGGAAAACATACTTTTCATCTTGTCATTGTTCTTGCAGGTCATAGTCAGAGTGAAGTCGAACCTCTATCCAGGGACATGATAAACAATCTGAAAGAACAGCTGAAGATCAGTAAGGACTATTTCAGCATGCTGTTTGTGGGGAAGGACAGCGACGTCAAGGCGTGGTTCCCGTCCCCCATGTGGACCCTGGATAACGTCTACGACCTGGTGGACTCCACGGAGCAGCGGGTGCAGGAGGAGAAGCTGCAGAAGAGACTGGGGATCCACTGCCCTGAGGACAGAGGGAGAGGAGCCAGTGAGGGGGGGCATTACCCCGGCTAAGATGAAGATGGGACGGAGGACGCATACTATCACCAGTCACAGCAATGATGAGAAGGAAGGAGGAAGAAGATTTAGTGGAGTGAAGAAGAGCTTCCGATATTCTGGAGATGACACAGCAAACACATGAACATACACAAGTTAATAACAAGGACCTACAAACACATCTTCAGCACAATAATAAGCTGTATATGTTTATGTTTGCAAGAAATAAATGTGAAAGCTGAACAGAAAATGTTTCAGGAATGGTTTCATTCTAGAAAGACTTAAGGAAAACACATGTGCAACTTGTTTAAATTGTATTTTAAAATCTGGTGTAGGCATATGCTCATTGAAGTAACAATGAAACATTAAACTGTACTCCAAGGACGAGCAGATTGAGCTCTCTGGCAACACTTCTGTCCACTCTTTCTCAAACACAATCACTGTCTAAAATATAAAAATGGAACTTCCCTCTGCTGAAACGCTGTGATAATCAAATTGAAATTGTATTTAAACAAAAAACATGTTCTTCATTTTAATTCTGGGCTAAACATCTGTTTTTTAAAGAGCTGCAGTCTCCAGACACCTCAGGGTCAATAAAACAAAGAGTTAGTGATGCTGGACACGTTGCATGCTTCAAGAACATTCTTAACAAAGTCTGATTAAACGGCATAGTCTTTCAGTTCTGAAAAAAATAAAACATTTGACATGTACGTATCTGTATGCCTATGATTAGAGTACATAAAAGGGCCTCAAATTCCATACAGCACATAAAAAACAAACGTAATTTTATAGGAGAGAGCAATTTATATATATGGGGCCCAGTAAATAGAAGTGTGAATAGTCATGACATGGCAACGCTGTAAATATCCTTAAGTAATGCTTCGTAATTTAATCCAGATGAGAAGATATGCAGTGAGTTAACAGGAAATGTGTGTAAAACATCACACATGCCTAAATGTGGATGTTAGTTTCTGCAAGTGTAGCTGCATCTTACAGAAAGGGAAGAAGAAGTAAGTAATTATAGGTTTGGAAACACTCTGGTGGGCAAATAACGTACGAATACAATTAAATATCTAGCAGTGTCTCCTTATAGGAATGATCAAATCTGCATGTGGGTGTGTTGTAACTTCCACAGTCCGAATGAATGGCAGTCAGGCAGATTAAAGACAGTTTTAACATAGACAGGAAAATAAGAGTAAAGTCTGTCTATTTTCTCCAGGCACATACTTTGATGAAATAGATGTATTTCAAGCGTTTAATGTTTGTTTGTTAACAATTCTCCTTATTTTCTAAGAAATGTGCTTTATTATTTATTTTCTTATGAACAGTAGGCCTACTTAATTGAACCGCCTGTTTTATAGTCCTCCTCCTGTTTCTATAGTTGGATACATACTGAAGTACAAAAACAAAATACCTGTGATAATCATGAAGAAGTACAGTTATTTATTTTTGTTAAGCATTTACAGCTTCCTCTGAATAGTCCCATTGAAATGTGTCATGCAATGATAATATAACCATGACATCCACTAGGAGGACTGCTCAGCTATCATTGGGTTCACTGACCTGTTCCACTTTCTCACACAATGCATTTGTCAACCTCTTTCTTCCAAACACTCATACTTTTCTCTGTATTCAGGGAGATAATCCAGTTTTTCCCACCCTACTGAGTGCCGAAACCACTAACCTAGGCTTAAGTGGCCACAAAGTCAACACAAAAAAACACTACATGGTCCAGAGTAAAAACTAAACTACCAATACAATACATTATACCTGAACTATTACTTCAGAAAGATCAGCACAGACGTTCACGGACCCTATCACACACCTGAGTGTACCTGTGGGTGAAAATCGAAATGTTTACAGAACTTTGTATGACCAAATACCTTAGATAAGTTATACATGCTTATTCGTACATTTTAGCAGGCTAACATTATAAACTTATGGTGAACATCGTTAACATTTTACTGCCACATTTTAGCATGTCATGTGACATTTCTTTCCCCAAAATAGTCACATTTGAAGTGTTTCAAACAAAGGAACAAGCCTCACAGTGTTTTCTCTTCACCTGCCGCTGAGTGAGTGAGTGGGCACCAGTTGTTGAGCACAGAGGGAATGTGCAGGAAGTTTGACAGGGATAGGCAAATCCGTCAGATAAAAACACACAGATAACAGAGGCTGGGACACTCACACAAAACATACTTACTACTAAGAGAGGAAGTAGTCTACTTATGTCACCAACTGAACCAGAATGTTCATCCCCCCAACATACAAACACACACACTCACTTAATGCTTTGTCACACTCGCTGTCATTCACCATATCTTACCTCTCTCTCTTCGACAGCAACAGAAACTCACACAGACACACTGATCAAACACATTCTGCTGCACTTCACACACCAACCATTCGGACGTAGCAGAGGTACCTGGGGCTGCTGTTCTCAGTATGGTGAGTACAACTAAACTGGCAATTCAAACTGTTAAGTTACTATTGAAAGCTACAATTTGAAATATGTCGCACTATATGAAGATTTCACAAGATTTATAGTTATATGAGAATTGTGAGTGACAAGTATTTCTTTGCAACAACTTCCTCAAGTAGCATTCTTGTACACATTCATTTACCAATGCAATGTGTTTAAGCAAGTTGTGCATGTGTGATTCAGGAGGATTAAGTTAAATCGAAGTTAAATAGTACGCTGGCATTCAACACACCTTGGACTTCAGAGTCACTGTAGCGATTTGTAGGCTTTTAGTTAATCTAATAAAAGGGCCAAATTATTTGAATTGAATTTAAAGTTTCCATTTGTTTTCTTCATTTATATTGTGTAAAAACAGTATTCACCCTCTTGGTATTTTTCTTGTGTGGGTTCGTGTTAACTAGATTGAGCAAGACAACTTTGGCCTCCACTTTTCATCACACTAGAAATAGAAATCATGGTTCCTCTTTACTTGGACAAGAAGTGAGTTTTTTCTCTTTCATTTCTCAGCTGGTCATTGCACTTAACATGTACCTATGCTTAATGGCTGCATAGACGGCAAAAGTATATGGTATATTTGCAGCAACAGGAAATGTAGCTATAAGCTAACACCTAACTATATTCTAAGAGGTGTTTCAAACATTTGAAAGTTCTTTAAACAAAATTGCAACTGGACTGACATTTAGAGAAGCGGTAATTGCGACTGTCTGGTAAAGAACATATTGGGCCATTTTTAGTACACTGTGGTTAAGAAACAGACGCGTGATGAGGGAACTTTCCTCTGATTTAATATGCAGTCACATCATGACAGACAAAGGGTTATGGCACCACTGCAAGATGTTACTGGCACTATTAAAGTGAGACTCCACCCTAAGCCTTTTTTTAGGGCACCAAATACGGAACCTGCTGCAGAGTTTGCTTAAGAAAGGTGGTAGATGTAAAGTAAAAGTGGGCAGTGACCTTCTCAGCTAAAAACAATGCTCCAACATCCCTTACTTGTCCATTCCCAGGCCAAGAATACTGCAATATACCGTAATAAAATATTTTTAGCCATATTTTGAATGATGGAGGGATAGATAACTGCAGAGCAGAGAAGTCCAGTATGTAAATTAAAGTAGAAAAATGTAATCTGAAAAGCAGCAAAACGTTTAAACTGGCAATCATTTTCCAACAAATATCTGCTTGTAGTAACCTACAACTATGACATTTTCTTATGGTTATGTTTTAGCAAGTCTAAAGGCAAAGTTAAGGTTATATTTTCTCCAGCATATAACAAAAAACATAATCATTTCCTACAACTTCCATGCCATACAAAAGGCACGATCTTGACTGGAAATGTTTTGCAAATTAACATAATTCTAAAACATGTAAGCCAAAACAATTGTCAGGGTCGTTAGAAGACATGAAGCTTCAATCTCGAAACGTAACTCGTTCAGAATTATTAAAAAGTAATCATGAGCTTAACTTGGGTTTGCATGTCTCATAAACATCATGCAGAAATCATTGTTGTTACAATAACACCCAGCAGCCAGCTTCTTCTTTTTGAAGCAAGTAGGACTGGTTTTACAATACTGTAGCTAGGTATTTGGTTAAATGTTGTTATTAGATCTGACATTTATTAGTTAACTTCCTATTCTTCTTCAGGTATAACATTATACTTTGCATCACACAGTTTTCCCTTACTTTCACTGCTCTGTTGTAGGACTAACATCAGGTGTGTGTGCTCATGATCTTATCTTTACTTCCTGGTATGGTTCTGACTCCAGTCCAACCTGCCTCATTACAATAGGAGTGGCACCTACTGGGTCTGTTTATTGTTGCACTTCGTAAAGCGGCATGAGATATCCTGAGTTATAACATTTTGCATATTGTGCTCAAAGGAGAGAAACATTCCAGATGTTTGAATGGCTCATTTGAAAGCAACACAATAGACTATTTTATTTACATTTCCCTTCCCCCAATCAAACTGCAATAAAATAAACAATTGCTAAGGCTCAAAACAGACATTCATTTCATTTCAAACCTTTATATATGCAGGTGAATCCCATTGAGATCATTGATCTCTTTTTCAAGGGTGACCTGCTGAAAGTAGGTTCCACATGAATACATAAAACAACAGAAAAACAAAAAGGACATCATACAACATATTTACAGTGACTACAGTTTACATAGCTAGTGACATTTACAGGTTCCAACAGTTTCCGATTGGATAGCATCTATCCGTGCTTTAAAAACATTTAGTGGAACCAAATTGCTCATATTGCAAACATAGCTGCCTGTCTTCAATAAATATTTGACAAAAGTAGCTTTTGTTAACCTGCAGTAATAGAGCACTTTACCTGCAATTACGAGTTTATCTATTTTATAGTTGTGTTTAATTTACATATAAGACTTTCCCTTTATGTGTCGTTTAACTTTTATGAGCTTTTAAGAATGTTTTCTTTATCATTTTGAGGGGAATAGCTTTCATGGGAAGTCTAAAAAAATAGACTGACAGTATAGCTAACAATATTGGCACCTTTTTTTCTTCTTTTGGAGCTTGTCCTGCTAGCTGCTTTTATTGGAAACGGATAACAACACTTGGTTCGTTTTATTTCAGTGTGATACTTTCAAAATCAACTCTACTCTTGCTAGTTTATAAAGATTGCCAATCCAAGCTCTAATAACCCAATGTTGGTGACACACACATTCACACACCAATGGCTTACGTGGAAAGGTGAGCATTGATGCTAATTATCACTTTGGGTTTATTGTCTTTTCCTTATGTAGCAAGCCTGAACCTCTGATGAATGGACAACTACTCTTCAGCAAGAGCTGTGTGTGTAGTTGCTCTGTGTGTTTTTATCATGGTTTGTGTCAATAGGTATGAGTGTTTTATGAGTGGCCAATAGAAGCAAACAGAGAG